ATAAACAGTGCTTAATCCAGATATTTACTGTACATATACGCAGTAAAGTCCATGTAACTTCAGTATTTTGTGTCTGTGAGAGGGAGATCAGCATCAGCACAGCCACTGTCAACTAAAAGCAACGTGTCCCAAACTCAAACAACAGCAAAACATCATATCCAGATGACATAAAATAAGTGTAAAGTTATCTAAAGTTCTAAATAATGTGTTGGGTGAAATACATAAACCCTAATTGAACTGTTGTTGTGTTGGATGCAAAAATGTGGGTTTGTGCCATGCCATCAGTCAGGCAGAGAAGACAGCAGGAGCAAAACGTCTCCAGCAGACTACCACTTACTACTAATGTTAGAAAGATGATAAATTAGACTCAGCATGGGAGTCAGGGGAGACACACGTGGGTGCGCGCCGTTCCTTCCTACAAATAGTTGTGTCGCATGCCAAACAGATCTCAGTGTGAACAGATGTTCGCAGTTAGGCCTGGTTTAGTCGCCTTGGTCGAGCCTTTTTAGGTTTCTCTGCTCAGAAGGAGGAGTCCAGGGAGACGCCAGCATTGCTTTATCGAGCGGAACACACCGGAACACATGCAATGGCTACCCAGAAAGCACACAAGGAAAAAAAAAGCACTGACTCCAGCTATGTGTAATATAACCCACTGCAGAGGGGATACCACTGCTGTGAGGGGAAATGGCACCAATAAAGGGGTGTTGGTGGGACTTTGCTATGAGCAAGGGAGCACTGCGGTAGAGGAAGATATTGTTCAGCGTAATGGTTGTCAACATGGACAACATAAAAAGTACTGACAGTAAATAACTAATGTTAGCATTTTGCAATGACACAGTAGCATACAGAGACATTGTAAGATCATGTACTTAATTTAAGGTCCCCTTGTTGAAGCCACTGTCACTACTGCAGGTGTGTTTCTATGACAATACAGTTTGTCAATACAATACAATTGTCAGAATCAGCCAGTGGCTGATGAAGGAAAAGGAAATGAACGCTGATGTGTGAGACCATTGAAAAAGTGTCTCTGAATAATCTCAGACAGATCTTATCACTCAGAGTCACGTCATGTGTGTAAATCTGTGTGCATCAGACAAGTGTGTGCACTGGAGATCAAAACATCTATTGACCATAATCGTATCAGACAAGTTTCCTAACGTTTGAAATGATCTATCCATACGAACAACTGTGACAGGAAATGAATTCCCATGAATATAATGCAACTTTGAGACGCAAGTATTGAAGGCAAACGCATACTACTTTTGTAAGCAGAGGTCATAATGCATCTCTGCTGCTGTTGCATTTTAATACTATTCTTAGCTATTTTTAGAATGAACTATTTATTTGTTTTCTTTGTATGGATGGATGTGTTTCTGCTGCTACTGGACACCTGGATTTCTCCAACAGGGGATCAAAGTATCTATCTATCTAATGCTGCAGATTGTTATAATAGTTGACACAATCATTCACAAGAGGAATACTACACAAACATGGTATTACAAATTAGTATACGTCTTCCTTTTTTGTAAATAAAATGCACAAATATAATAATTTCTTGATTGATTGACAGTTGATCAAAAGTACTAATATTTTAAGCCAATGTATACATCGCTAGAATCTGACTTTTTAAAGGGTGTATTTCACCAAATGGTGTTTTGCTAAGAATACATTGACTCAAAACTTCTAAATCAATGCAGACTGCCCGCCCATTATTTGAGAAAACATTACTTGGAATGAAATATATTCTAAAATCATTATGAGCATGACTGTATCAAGATGTGTCTGAGTACTTTGATTTTCAAGCTGTTTCATTTGCAACTATTGACTATGTGTCCAAACTCAGAAATAAAAGATCTGAATTATGTTTGGGGTGGAAATGTGTTCAATGCTCTGACAAGGAGCTAATAAGCCAAAGCAATCATGATGCCAGAGGAGGAGACAGCTTTGAAAGATGAGAGGCAATCATTCAGCAGAAAACTTAAGCAAAAACTGTTGAATTAAGATCATAGTTGAATCTCTAGGACCGGCCTTGGGACTATGGCTGAAATGTAGCAGTTATGCTAAGTCCGGCGCATTCACACAAGTGGCCAAGTTGGTAGAGCATTGGCCTTTGTAGGTTCGAGCCCACCGCAAGACCTTCTCCACTGACTCCACTGATGTCTGCTGTCGTTGTGTCCTTGGGCAAAACACTTCACCGACTTTGCCTATAAGTAATGTTCACTGCATGCCTTGATGTTCATATGTATATTTATCAAACTGAAATTTGGACCTTCTTCTTAAGGAAACATTGTTGATAAATGTGCATTGTCCTAACTCAATAAACAAATACATTAAATTAAATTAAATACTACAATCAACACAGGAAGTAGTATGTCTGTGTTGATTCACGCTTCTCAGGAAGAAGGCCCTGGGTTTGAATTCCGGTCAGAACAGGGTCTTTCTGAGTGGAGTTTGCGTGTTCTCCCTGTGCCTGTGTAGGTTTCCTCCGTGTGCTCTGATTTCCCCTACCACTGAAAACATGAACAATAGGTAAATCCTCCAGCTGCGGTAGTTCGCACCAAGCCAAGCATTAACATCTAGATATGGGTTCCTGGGTGCTGTACAACGGGACCATTTCACCTGACAGGCGCCCTATTGGCATCAGGATGGATTGAATGCAGATAATGAATTTCCCTACTGGATAAATAAAGTGCACCTTTACCTTTAATTCCCACTGTATACAGTCAACTTTAGTTTTATACCCTTGTTGTTGTTATACCGGAGTGAATCACCTATTTTATTATTCTCCTCACTTTATACATGCTCAAAACTGGAGCTTGGGAATTTATCGAAACCACTTCCATTTTGAAAAGTAATGATGCATCTTTAAACAATGTGGAGAAAAAACCCTTCTCACAGTAACCTGGAAAGGAATTTGAAACTTTGCTGGAGCAGAGCGTAACAAGAAAAGTTCAGACACGTCTTCTCTTCTGTTACCCCTGCCCCCTCCGGCGTATGTACTTATGCAATAAGTTGCCTGAGGGATTCACAGGAATACTGAATGTGGGTCTTTGACATGGCAGCAAAAACATTGACGCCAATACTCCAGTTTACAGATGCAGACTCACTCACAAAACAAGAATCTATAAAATGTAAATTATTTATTCGTAACTTGTTTTTGGCCCAACTTTCACTAAGAATTTATTCTTTACTGAGAGGCAGCCTGGAATATTGTTGAAAATGAATTCAAATGTGGTTCATTTACAGCTGTGGTGCCAAACCTTCAAAGCATTTCAACTCTGCGGTAACTATAGTTTTCACCTGTATGTGAAAGCTAGATCCTGTCAGACCTCTGAAGCAGGGCAGAGCCTGGTTAGTACTGTGATGGGAGACCTCTGGGAACACCAGGTGCCACAGTGGAGCAGCTGTAAAGTGGCAAACTATTGTTGTGTCCTTAGGCAAGACACTTCACCCACATTGCCTAGAATGAGTTTAGTGTGTGCGTGATTGGACGGTGGTGGTCCGATGGCACATAGTGGTTTCCTTCCTTCTGTTAATGTGCCCCAGGGCAGCTGTGGCTACATTTGTAGTTTCTCACCATGTGAAAGAATAAAGACATGTAAAGCGTGTTTGAGTGTCCAAAAAAACTATGTAAAATCTACGCATGTATTTTTGGCCTCTGTCCCATCTCTAGATCAGCTTTTCCAGACAGAAGGGTGAAAAAGAGAGGACCACCATCACCCAATCAGTGACTCACAGGGCTCATTCTTACATGTATGCAACAGTTAAAATTGTTTCTAATGGGATGAAGACTGCATGTTGTGGTCTGAACATTTTACAAAACTCAAAACGAATTGCATGTAGTATTAATGAAACAACAAAGTTACGTACCGCAGCAGCTTTACTTAAAAAGTTAATATTGCATGTTACTTTTAGGTTGTTTTCAATTAATAGCAGCATTGAAATTAAGCTTATCTAACATGCCTTCTGCACTTTTTTTCTGTTGTAGTCCTATTTAGATTACAATTCTCTTCTTATCCAAGGGAAAAACACCTTCCAATTGACTGCACATTATTCACAATTCTGAATTGTTGGAAGATTAATAAGAAAATGCTCAAACGAAACTCAATAACAAGTTAGAAAAGCGCTTTGGGGGGAAGCAGTTTTCTCACCCGTGAATCTGGCCCAGAGTTCTGCTGATGTGCCTGTATTATCAAGCCTTTGGCAAGTGTCATGCTGTTTGTCTGCCTGTGTCAGAGTGTGCATATTTGTGAACAGTGTGTTTTTCTCACTTCCCACAATGCACTCTGTTGTTTTAGCCCCTGAAAAAGTGCTGAAAGTGTGGGCTCAGATCTGTCCAGGCAGCTCATAGCAGGAGGTATCTTCACCAGCAGTAGTCATCAACCCAAAAATGTTTAGAGAAAACACTGTAGGTTTGTCTTTTGTGTATCTGACACGTCAAAAACTTTGTGTTAACAGGCAGCTGTAGCTTGGGAATTAACGTGTCTCCATGTTTGAAAATGGGCAAAATGTGAGCTCATGAGACACGCTTTCCTTCTTCTGAAAAGCAACTTTCTCAGTCAACTTTTTTAAATGTATAGCGGATTCCCTTTTAAGAAAATTGTACCAACATACATGTGGGCCAATGGGAGGAAGATTGCAGTATTCCCAGGTATATACTAGTAACTAAAAGCGCAAACGCATTATACAATAAATTGTTCTCATTGTACTCATAGTCTGTGTATAGAAGGACAATCCTACACCACTAGCTAATTGAAGCCCAACGGGGACTTCTCTGTGTCTTCTGCTCCAGAATTTGACAGCTAGCCAGCAGGAACAAACCAGCACCACTCCTGATTGGCTGATTAGTTGCTAAGGCGTTGCTACCTGCGTCATTTGACTCCAGATTCCCGCTCATAGAGCCTGCCTGAGGTAGCTCTAATAAGTTTTTCCACACTAGGCAAATAATATGGTTGACGGTTGACACACAAACACACACACGCACACACTCAGACTTTTACCTGATGCTGCTCATGCTGCCGGCCTCAGAGCCCAGTTTGCATCGCTCCAGCTGCGTAGCCACAATCTGCCTTTCCGCCTCCAGCTCCCTGGTGAGGCGCTCAAACTGCAGCTCCTGCGGACACGCAGATATATGATCACAAACATTAAAGAGTATACATAACTGAAAGATAACGCCTTCTGCAGAGATATGAAAATTGGCTTTTTATCTTCCCTGATGAATCATTTGTAGGAGGGCAATTAAAATTACCGGTTTCATTTGAGTTTTATAGATACAAATCAAGATTTAAAGACAGATTAAAAGTGTACAAAGAGCCTAAAACTACTCCAGGCATAAATGTTTGAGTTTGAGATCATCTTTATTTGACAGTTTGAATAAATGTTAAATTACTGTAAGGGACACATGAAGCCCCTGGTTGCAGCACATTTTAAGCATCAAACCTTTTGAACAATATTGTGAACAAGTAAGACCACATTCTATTTTTATCTTATTAAACCCCATTATATAGATTGTGTAATGCCAAAAAAAATCCAAGCGTGTGTCTATTTGACACGCTGGTTTTTCCCCATCACCTTTGAGAGGTGAGAGGTGAGTGTTGGGGCATCACCTCTCAGCCTCACAACTCAAAGGGCTGAGAGGTATAGGCTGAGCAAGGCTGGTCCTCTTCTTTTCACTTTTTTGTGTGAAAAAGCCCATCTGAAGATGTGACGAGGGGCAAAACATGTGTGTGTAAACTAGTGCTAGAACAGTAATTTTATAATGATTTGATGAAACTTATCAATTTGTTGTGGTTTTAAAGATAGGTACCCCAGCTTTAATAGCCTTGTGTAGTTCCTATATATATCTATGAATTAATTGATACAATCTTTTATAAAAGATTGTTTAAAATGTTGTTTAACATTCCATAGTAGCCCATACTAACCTCTTATTATCAATGATTTCAAGTAAAAAAATATATATATTATAAGTACCCCGTGTAATACCCCCGGTTGGGAAACACTAATCTAGACACCCTTATTACAAGCTTGTGTATGTTTTTTACTTTTTTTTGTGTTACTTTTAATATTATGAGAAAAATCATACATAAAATAGATGTTTGTGGAAAGGAACCTAAAGCCCTGTTCAATTTAACAAAATGTTACTGGAAAAACATGTGCAAAAATTGACTAAAAGCGCAAATGAATGATTGTGTTTGATGGGGCTGCACATTTATCACCAATTCGGCAACTTAATGTAATTCATCTGTAAATGTATTAGTAGTGATACCAGAGACAGATGTGCGGGGGAAAACAAACACGAGATGAATCATAATGGCTCCGTTTCATCTCTTTAAATCATTCAGGCGAGCGGGTCCACGTACAGAATCACAATGGCACAGTATCATTAAAAACAAATATGCGTTCTCCTCATTTATTGAAAGGTCCCCCGCCGAGTCGCAGCGAGCGCCGTGACACTGCAGCCCTGACAGAAGCAGCGTATAGCAGCCTCTGTGTGAAAGATGTATGACACAACTGTTTTCCCAAAGTGGGGCCAGGGTACTTTGAGTGCACTCTCTGAAGAGGGTCATAAACTCTCTAATACTTCATTCACAACAAGACAGAAAAGAGGAATGGGACTGAAAGGACAGACGAAACAACCCGACAGAAGACCGGCGTGCAATAATGTGTTAAAATGTCATAATGTTGCTATGACGATACCCTAATGTGTACAATATTTCAATTAGCAAGTATTTCTTCTTTATTATGCTAAAGTTGGAGATTTTAAGACTTCTTTTCTCATTAGGCTAAAGATAGAAATTATATATGTATTCTTGGTATAGTCGAGTCAGAGATGTATTATTATTCTTATTATTATGATTATTCATTTATCTTGTGCTGTGTGCTCCTGAATAAAGAATCTCTTAATCTTAATCTTAATCTCAATGTGGAAATGGGGTTAAATGTCCATGTTGTATATCACAGTTTACATGTGTTTGGATTTGGAAAAGGTTTAAAGATCGATTAATCACAACTAATCAATTATTAATGTTGTTGATTTGGTCATTGATTAATCGTTTTTCCCTGTGAGGTGAATGTAGTTCCATGGGGAAATTTTCCAGTTTGAACTTTCACTATTGTATTCAACTATTTCCATGCACTTTATTCAAAGCCTGCTCTTTTAGTAATATACACTGTGAAGATACAAAAAAGTATTTCAAACAGATTTTATGACTCATATAATTCTCTAATGGCTGAATGGGATGAAAATGTGTTTACAATGTATGCTTGGTCAAACAACCCAGTGTGTAACCAGTCATCTCTGTGAAGATATTCTCTAGGAGTATGTATAAAAATTTCCATAATCCCAGACCTTTCAGGATCTAAACACCAAATAATATACTGATCAAATAATAATCAGACAACTAATTCATTTTCAAAGTAATCATGAATCACAGCCCCACATGTTTCACCTCTTGTATGGCAGCCAAAAATAAGCAACAGAATCATTTTTGTTAAGGTATCATGAACTTTTTGCTGCCACTGGTAATTACTATGACAAAAGACACAATGCTTATTCAAAAACTCAGTGAAGAACAATATTTGTGACATTGGATATTACATTGCCTTGAATTAACACGGTGTGCAATACATCTGATACATCTGTATCTGGTAATGTTTTACTTTCCCCGAGAATTTAAGGGAATGCATTATTGTAGCTTCAACTTGAGGATATATTTTTCTCTTTGTGTTTTAAAGCTCCCCAAACAATCTTTTGTCTACCTTTTTAAATATTTAGGCTTGTTTTCTTGTGCCATAACTTTTTGGGGGAAAAGCACACTGAAATAACTGTCGCTGCTACAATCTTTCACCATTATTTGGGCAATGTTGCCACGGAAATGAAGTACATCCATTTCTCTGATTTTGGCCTCACGTCACGTCACATCTTTAGATCAGCTAATTCAGACACAAAAGTGCTTTAATGAGAGACTAATTCCTGATTTGGCCTGCCCTTTTAGACCCTAACCTAGGGTATATTTCTTCTACTTTTAGTCACCAAGGTTTGCTCTTTTAAAAACCCTAAAATTACTCGGCTGCGGGTCTGAGAAAATGTAGATGTCCGTGGCACTACAAAAGTTGGAGATTGCTGGTATAAGGCACTCACTGCATATATGTGTTTATCAGTGTTGGGCACGTTACTTTGAAAAAGTAATTAGTTATAGTTACTAGTTACTTCTCCCAAAAAGTAACTGAGTTACTAACGGAGTTACTCCACTATAAAGTAACTATAGTTACCAGTAAAAGTAACTATTGCGTTACTTTTTTCGTTTTGTTCTGGAACATAATGTGCACCCGACGTGCTTATTTTTATCTTTAACAGTGCCAATATTTCTATCTAGAAAAGTCTGTTTTGCTGCTGAAGTCCTGTTCACTCTCCATCTCTCTCTGTGCTGTAAGCACTAGACACCAGCACCCGCCACTGTGAATGTGGAAACACCGGTGAAGCACCGACTTCAGCCCAATCAGATGAACATATATATATCATATAAATCAACTGGACAGTTTGTTTGGCTACAGCAAAATATGTTTCATGCCCGCATTGTTTGTTCATACAAAACGCAAAACTATGAGTTATGGGTCTTACCTTATAAATGACCTGCACAGACCACTTCAGTTCAGACCAGTTCCTTGTTTAAGTCCAGTTAATGGTTTGAGCGTAGATATGTAATCCTCCATTTGGAAATGAGTCCCATGAGTTTTAAAAAGTAAAACAAAACTCCTCTGTTTTGCTAGCTGCAGCCGGGTGCATCCAATTTCTAAAACCAACCGTCTTACACTACACCTCTCTTTCTTATCATTCCTATAGTAATTGAAAAAATACCCTAAGTGCATTTTAAATTATCTTAAAATGTGTTATATGTATGTTAGCCAAATCTGTTGCTGTCCTTAGCAGATAAACCAGGAAAAGAAAGGAGCTTATCGATGGAATTGTATGCAGCCGACTTCTGCGCTCACATGCGCTCCTCTGAGGCTGGCCTCACGGTGATAGAAGCCGTAGTTGAGCGCGATTAGGACCCATATTTGTTTCAAAAACACAATTTATGACCATCTTCTCAACTGTAGACATGTAGATTGTAAAGGAAATATGTTTTACATCAGCCAATAATTGCTGAGAGGTTTTCTCATCCTCCCTTCTCTCATGACAACATGTTCATTGTGCGTCTTGAGTAACGCGCAGTAACGGGATGTCGGAAATGATAACGGCGTTATAGTTACTGTCAAAGTAATTAGTTAGATTACTCGTTACTGAAAAAAGTAACGGCGTTAGTAACGCCGTTACTAATAAAGCCGTTATTCCCATCACTGGTGTTTATGCATGAGTGTAGCTTTGCACTTAATCACAGCCACGTGTAGCAAATCAATAGGCCACTGACCCTCCCTCTACCAGATCAACTCCCTCTGAACGTCGGCGCCTGACGTGTGTGAAGTCGAGATAGGAGGAGAAAGAGCGCGCTGCAGAGTGTATGCTAGTTTGATTGGTTTTCTCGAAGCCATTTGAAGCTCTGAATGAGTTGATCCCCAGTTGCGATCTCAAGCCTCAAACCTTAATCCCACCATCTCGTCAACACAATACAGCACACAGCAATACAACACACACAGGCAACAAGCATCTACCCACATTACAAGGCTCTCACAAAGTCACAGTAATAAACATAATGTGAGTTAGATTTTAATTAAACGGACATGTACTGAATAGAAATCTAAACTTTCTGGGTTATTCTTGTATTTCTTCTCCTATAGTGTGATTATATGAATGTTTAAAAAAACATTCTCTTCAGGTTAGATTCAATAGATTACCCCTCTCCTCGTCAGCAGATCCAGTGCTTTCTGCTGTGCGTTTCACAATGGGATCAACGCAAAGACCAATGAACTGCAGACAAGCAAGTTCAGCCATCCTGATGATTTGTAAAGCGAGATGACGTTGGGAATTTGACTATGCTCTATTAAAGCTCCCAGTCTCGTATTTCTAAATTATAGCTTTGTTTAACAGTGAGGTGCCATGCTTCAAAGCGATGCTGTGCGCCTCACCACAGACTGCTTTGTCACCTTGTTTTCCACAGCTGCAACTATTTTAAA